TAGAGAAAGAAAGAGAGGCACGCAAATGGAAAAGTAAAATGTCTAATTGGCTTTACTCACAAATGACATGATTGTATACGTGTAACATTAAATGGAATCTACAAAACTACAAAACATGCTACTAGAAATAAGTGACTTGCCAGGCACGGTGGCTCACGCCTGTAATCTCAGCACTTTGGGAGGCCAAGGCGGGCAGATCACAAGGTCAGGAGATCGAGACCACCCTGGCAACATGGTGAAACCCCGTCTCTACTAAAAATACAAAAAAAAATTAGCTGGGTGTGGTGGCGGGTGCCTGTAGTCCCAGCTACTCAGGAGGCTCAGGCAGGAGAATGGTGTGAACCCGGGAGGCAGAGCTTGTAGTGAGTCGAGATCGTGCCACTGCACTACAGCCTGGGCGACAGAGCGAGACTTCATCTCAAAAAAAAAAAGAAAAGAAAAGAAATAAGTGACTTGAGCAAGATCACAAGAATCAAGTCAATGTACACAAATATTAAAATTTTGTTATATCCATTTGTACAATGAAATGCTACTCAGCAATAAAAGAATGAATCACTGAAAAACTCAGCAACAGGGCTGGATCTCAGAAAAAAATATTCTGAACAAAAGAAGCTGGACACAAAGGAGTACATGTTATATAATTCCATTTTTATAACGTTCTAGAACACAAAGAACTCATCTATGATGACAGAAAGCAGACTGGTGGTTTTTTGGGCTGGGGGTTGGGGATTGATTGCAAAAGATCCCAAAGGAATTTTTTAGGGTGATAAAATATTTAGCTGTCTTTTCAGCAGTGGTTACATCAGTGTATACATTTGTCAAAATTCATTGAACTGTGCACTTAAGATGGATATGTTTTATTGTTTGTAAACTTTGTGCCTCAAGACAATTGATTTTAACTATTAAAATGCAGGTATCACCTCTTAAGCAAAAACCAACTTAACAATTTGAGTTTCCATTAACTAATTGACTTGAAGCATTTAGAGAAAGATGGTGATCCACATCTTATATTTAGCACTTTTTTACACTGTGCTCAGATAAGCAGGAACTGTCCTGCAGCCTGGAGACAGTGGCAAGAACACCAGGCAGGGAGGGTGGGGGGACTGGGAAAGCAGACACAGAACCTGTGTAGACCCTGTTCATTCACGACTCACTCCTCATTGCCCACATGCCAGCCAGTGAGCTATGACAGCTTCCCTCTTTAGTACCCTCAGCAGGATCCTGTAAGGCCCCGCTTTCTAGACAGGAGGATAACAAAGCCTAGAATTGAAACAGAGCCTTTCCCTCTCCTCCTCTTCTAGTGGAGTAAGTCTAGTTGCGTTTAAACATTATGCCCAGTTGTATTCTTCTGGTATGTTCTTATCCTTCTCAGAAACATTATATTGCGATTCATTCATAAAGCAAATACAGTTGTGCCTTGAACAACAGGGGGATTGGGGTGCTGACCCCTCACGCAGTAAGAAATCCATAGCTTTTGGCTCCCCAAAACTTAACTACTAATAGCCTACTGCTGAGTGGAAGCCTTACCAGTAATAGTTGATTAACACGTCTTGTGTGTTGTAGGTATTGTATACTGTATTTGTTTTTTTCACATGCCTGCTGTCTCAAATACATACTGTATTCTGACAATAAAGTAAGTTGAAGAAAAGAAAATGTTATTAAGAAAATCATAAGGAAGGGAAACTATATTTACTATTCATTAGGTGGAAGTAGATCATCATAAAGGTCTTCATCCTCATCGTCTTCTCATTGAATAGATTGAGGAAGAGAAAGGGTTAGTCTTGCTGTCTCAGGGGTGGCAGAAGAGGAAGGAAATCTACATATAAGTGGACCCACGCATGCAGTTCTAACCTGTGTTGTTCAAGTGTCAACCGTATGTGTTGGGTACCTACCACGTGCCACACACGGCTTGTAGCTGTGAACAGAATGGCACGCTCCCTGCCTTGCTAGAAGAACAACTTGGGGTGCTGGGGAAATTGATGAGTTGAATTCAGAAGACCTGGTTCTATTCCTAACTGTGCTCTATAATTGCCAAGCAGACCCTGAACATGTCCTTTGACTTCTCAGGGCCTCACTTTTCCCACCTTTCAATTTTATGAATTTCAAATATTTCACCAATGATGTCTAGCGTGATATCCAGTGTTAATATCCACTATCTAACCAGACCCCAGATTTACTTAAGCTCATTTTAAAATTTGGGCAGGAGGGTTAGGTGCCCTGCTGTGCCCCATAGCCCATGGCACAGTGACATCTGTCTATTCAAAAGCCCTTTTCTTAGCACAGTGACATCTGTCTATTCAAAAGCCCTTTTCTTAGGCCATGAAATCATCCTTGGTGGTAAATCAAATCGTCTGAGGAGTTTTAGAAATTCCCGGCAACAAGATAGTACCTTAGACCGGTAAAATGAGAATCTCTCAGTTGGGATCCGGGCATTGTTCACTCTTAGACCCCTTTAATTATCTACTCATTTTCCCCTCACATCCCTGTCATCACTCATTCCCCTTCCCCTTCAAAGGCAGGAGCTCTGTGGGATTAGACACAGGGACTGAAGTTGAGAGAATCATCTTAATAGTACATGGTGTTGCTGTGTGTGGCTAATTGACCAATATGAACAGTGCCGACCTGTAGCCCTGCCACATCCCTGCAGTGAGAGCAAGACAAGGCATGGAAGAGCTGATCCCAACACCTATCTGAGCCCATGGGTCACAGCAGGTTTCAACCATTTAGAGAAGAATTTTGGATTCTTCATTGTTGCCTGTTCTTATCAATGTTACTGATTCATTCAGTTCATTCATTCAACAGATGTATTTTGAGTTTTCTGCTAATATGCCAGACACAGTGTACCAGAGACTCTGTGGAGGGCAGAAATTAACCAGGTGGAGGGAAGAGAATTCTGGGAGATGGGAATAGCAGGTGCAAAGGCCTGGCAAAAAGGAGTCTGTCGGAGTTTGCAGTGAGCTACGATCACACCACTGCGCTCCACCTGGATGACAGAGTGAGACTCTGTCTCAGAAAAAACAAAAAACAAAAAAGGAGCCTGGCCCCTATGAAGAACTGAAATGATGTATGACTGGAGCAGAGTGCTAGGTGCATGCAGGGAGGGAGATTAGCCACAAGGCAAGGGACCAGTCTGCCCAGTGCCTGGAGAATGGGCTGTAGCCAGAGAGAGCATAGGAGGATGTTGTTCTCTGTACAAAGTCTCTAAAAATGGCACTTTTTGGCCTTGCATGGTGGCTCCTGCCTGTAATCCCAGCACTTTGGGAGGCCGAGGTGGGCGGATCACCTGAGGTCGGGAGTTCGAGACCAGCCTGACCAACATGGAGAAACCCCGTCCCTACTAAAAATACAAAATTAGCCGGGTGTGGTGGTGCATGCCTGTAATCCCAGCTTCTCAGGAGGCCAAGGCAGGAGAATCACTTGAACCCAGGAGGCAGAGGTTGCAGTGAACCGAGATCATGCCATTGTACTCCAGCCTGGGCAACAAGAGTGAAACTCCATCTCAAAAAAAAAAGGTGCTTTTTAGCAAAATAGTGACTGACTGGTTTTTAAGACCGCGATAAAAAGACATTAGCAAAAGTGGTGTGAGACCATGATCATGAGTCCTGTAGAGAAAGTAACCAAAAGTGGTACATTTCTATGTGGTTGCCTCCCAGACAAAATGCCAGGCTCCACCCACTAGTTCATGCTCCCTGATAGCAATGGCTGGTATGTGCTCAGGTCTAGATTGGAGACAGACACTTTATTTTATTGTCTCACTGAGTCTCCATGACCAACCTACGGGCTATGAGATATTACTACCCCTTTTTTGGATAGACACAGAGGTTAATAGCTTGCCCATAGTCACACATCTACTAAGTGGTAAAACTGGAAGTTGAATCCAGGCATTCTTTCCCCGGAGGCCAGTTCATCACCATGCAGTGCTGATATTGGGACCTAATGGTGGTTCTGCTTGTGGCCTGTGTTGAAATGTTTTGTCTTTATTCAGAGAAAACAGAAGGCATGATGTGGTTTTAAGCAGGTGGTGACATGGTCAGATTGCATTTCCCCTCAATTTACATGGATAATGGACAGTTGACAAAGACATCATCACCCCCATGAGACAATAAACCAGTTCATGAAACCGGAAAACAAAGGAAACCATTGAAATTTGTTAAATGATATTTCAGTGGAACTTTAGGGATGATATACTAGGCATAATATCATTATTGTTGTGGAGGCTGATTGAATGAATTCACTTGATGGATCTGCTGGAATTGTTCTGGAAACTGTTTGGAAATTGTGAGCTTCTGTATACAGGTAGCCTACCTCCAATCTAGAGAAGTTCATAAATTGCCAAGAACCCTGGACTCATCTAGAATCATTATCATTGCCAACATTAAAGTCCTATGTTTTAAGGGTCTGTGATTTTGTGGTACGTGGTACGTGGAATCATATGAATGAGAAGGACACGGACCCTCTTTGAACTGATACTGATATATTTCATAGCCAAATCACCATGTGTTGAGTTCCCGTTCTATACCATGTGGTATTTCATGTAGCCCTCAAGAATGGCCAAGGAAAGTGGATTCCCCATCCTTAGAGGTAAGGAAACGAAGACCAAGGGAGTCTAAGTAATGGGCCCAAAGTCTCACAGTGGGCTAGGGAGAGAGTATGCGATTTGACCCAAAGTCTTCTTGGCTCCCAAGCAGGTGCCCTGTGGTGCTCCCTGTAAAGATACGTCAATGAGAGTTTATGCCTGTTGTCCGTGATGCATTGACCAGAGTAGAAAAAGGATCCTTTGTCTTGCAGGCAGTCTGGTTGTCAGTTGGCTGCCAAAATTCAGATGTTGGTGGAAGAAGCCACATTATGTACAGTCTTTGCTCCCTTTCGTTTCTCACTGAAATAAGTAAAGATTCAGCCACAGGGCTGTCTACCCAAAGTGTTCTGAAGACTTCAAGGCATTTACTCACCTCCATTTCATGCAGGCAGAGCCCACTGAAGTTGATTTTCTGTGTTCACAGCTGCAGAACCAGGAACTGCTGAGGGCGATGATGAAGAAGGCCGAGCTGGAAATCAGTGGCAAAGTGATAGAAACAATGAAGAGACTGGAGGATCCTGTGCAGCGACAGCGCGTCCTGGTGGAGCAAGAGAGACAAAAATATCTTCATGAGGAAGAGAGGATCATCAAGAAGTTGTGGTGAGTGCCAGTCACTTGCATGTTGAGCTGTTTCACCTGCAAAGGAAAATTATCGTTGCTAAGAAGGAGGTCCTTCCCAGTTGCCCTCTCTTTATTGAGCACCTACTGTGTATAAGTTAGAGTTCTGCTGATGGTGGTATATGTGGACACTTCAGCACCTTTCCATGGAGGCCCAGGAAATTCAGTGGTCCTCAGGTGACTGCATTTCTTTAAAAGCTGCAGCATTGCTGGGCATGGTAGTTCACACCTGTAGTCCCAGTTACTCGCGAGGCTGAGGCGGGAGGATTGCTAGAGTCCAGGAGTTCGAGACCAGCCTGGATAACATAGGGAGATCCTATCTTAAAAAAAAAAAAAAAAAAAAGAACAGAGAGAGAGAGTTGCAG